AATTAATCTTGACCCCTTCAGCCCCTTTATCATCGAGAGTATAATTTCAAAGCATACAAAAGAATATTGGGATATTTTTTGTCCGCAGTTCCTATTTGATTATACTTGTGGTTTCATTTTTCTTTCTTACAGGAAAAAAATATTTCTGAAGTTAATCAGCTTCTTTAGGTAGTTTCTGATATATAGATGTCTAAGTGTAGGACCCCACGAATAGGTCACATGAGTCCCCACTGGCCTTCGAATTTTTATGCTCTACTTCAAGAAGTTTGGCAATTTTTTTTCAATTTTTAGACAAGTGAAGCATGATTATATCCTCATTGTAATAATGCGAACAGTACAGAAAATTTTAGGGTAAAAAAGTGAAAGTCCTTCAACACCCCCTAATCCCCAAATTTAGTTCTCTAGGGAGGTCACTCTGTGAGGTGTGAACCTTCCAAAACGTTACCTATGGATTTCTGTGCACACAGATGTGTATATACCAATTACAGAGTTTTACATTCAGTAAACCATCTTGTACATACTCAGTAGCTCTTTTCATATAAGTTTGTTTTGGAGAGCTTCCCATGTAAGTTTCCTAAATGGTGGACATTTAGGTTGTTTCTAATTATTTGCTCTTACAAACAGTGCTATAATTAACATCCTTGTAAATGTCTCTTTGTGCATATGGACAAGCATTTCTTTAGGGTAGCTATCTATGGTTTGGCAATTTCTGCTGCCTTTAATTGCATTGCCTGGTATCTGGCAGACGATCTTCCGCATGTACAATAACTTTTCATGTCCGTGCTCCATTATAGTATAAGTTTTAAAAAAGATGTTTTAGGCGACAATTAGGAATCTAAGTTTAAGTTCAAATTCTGCGTGGATTGCTGTAAGCAACTGAGGTGCCACTTGAATGAACAACTACCTCAACACATGGCTGAGTTCACCCATGCACAGGCAGTTGTGATGGGGGGCAGATAATGTCCCCCCTGCATAAGACCTATCATGATTTTGAAACATTATAATATGAGAAAATACATCTTAGAATAGAGGAGTTATGATGTTTCATTTTCCCTAAATAAATAGCCTATTGCTTCACCCCATATTTGAATGGTTCTTTGCCTGCGAGTTGATATAATTGCTTTACTTCAAACTCTTTTACCCTGTAGGTGGATGTGTGTCTGGACTATTAACTCTCTTGATCTATGTGTCTGTTCCTGTGCTAGTTCAGAGGGAAAGCTCCCCCATAGTTTTCTTTTTGAGAACTTCCTTGCACATTTGTCTTCTGTCTACTGTTCTTTCTCAATCCCACACTGTCCCTTTTACACAGAGTGCTTCATTAGCTGTTCGCAATTGGTGTGATTTTGTATCACAGTGGGTCTGATGTGTGAACATCTGCAGCAGTCAAGAGCACATTTTCCTCAGGACTTGACACCGAGCTTGCCATCAGCATGAAGCGATCTCTCTGTCTTGTTCTCTCTCTCATCCCATGACATCTCCCAGCATCACTGCTCCAACATCAGTTATGCCTGAGTCTCGAATGGTGTCAATCTGAGTTGACAATGTGCCAGCTTTCTTAACATTATCACTAACAGACTGCTTAATTAACCTGCTGATACTGTCAATAGTAGATCTTGTGGTTTGCTAGAAAGGAGATCTGGGACCATTGATTGGTCTCTTTCTTTTTCATTTGCTTAGGCTCTCAATGTCTGTGACTTGGGAGCTGGACTTGCCAAGAGTGGGATGGGAGGGACCAGGGTGCGTTCGAAAGGAATACGACATGATCGAATGTCTGGATGAGATCATGGAGATGAAATTGCTGAAGCAGGCCGGAAATCTGACAGCTCAAAGGCAGGGATGGCTAGTAACCTGCGCCTACAGCAGGTACTCAATTAATGGACAACCAGTATACACAGTCAATGGACGTGATTACAGGTGCCCCCTTCCCAAGGCCACTCTGAGGGCCCTCCCCTGCCCTGCGCCCTGGGGAAGATTCTAAGCCTAGCTGGCCTGAAACCCAGGCTCGCAACCTCTTTTCCTTCACCTCAGATTCGCCTTCCTAATTCTCAGTCTCTGGACGTAAGACAAGGTTTTGGGCTGGATAATCCTTTGTTGTGGGGGCTGTTCTGCCTGTGTCATTAAATAGGCAGTAAGAATGGGGGCTCAAAGGAGGAGCCTGGGGGTTGCCATTATTCAGAGGTGGCTTTTAGGGTTTTCTCTGTCTCTTTTCCATCCAGGAGGCTTAGATGAGAGGGCAGCTTTGTCATTCTGAAAAGTGTCCTGGAGGATCTGTCTGAGGGAAGGGAGGCTGGGTTTTTGCTTCTTTTCATACTTTATCTTGTCAAGTCACGTTGTGTTTGAACCAAAGTCCTGCTACACTGCATATTCAGAAATTGTGGAGAGCAAGTGAGATGCCACCATGAACTTGTGACTGGTCATCCATCATCTCCAGATCCACACTCTCTCCTCTTGGTCTTCGTCACACACACACACACACACACACACACACACACACACACACACACACACACACACACACACTCACACACACACACACACTTAAGGCTATAGATGTTTCAGCCATCTCTGGCTTCCCTTGACCTGGTGTGGGCACGGGTGTAGAGGTCATGAGCCCAAAGATCCCAGGAGACCCTATATGCAGCCCCTCCTTTTACACCCAGGGAAGTGGGCAGGGAGTAGAGTTTGCAGAGTGAGGTGGTGGCTCCTGACCTGAAGCAGATTCTCATCACCTAGTCCACATTCCCAGCATCACTGCTCCAACATCAGTTGCCTTTCCTGGAACAGTGATAGTGGTGTGGTGAGGGTGAAGGGGTTCTCAGAGGGCAGAGATTGATGCCTTTTAGTGCAGAAAACCCCAATATCCTTTCCCATGGTTTTGTTGCATCTCTGAATGTACAGGCCCGGCGGCCCCAGGGGGTGGGAGATGCAGAGCATGTCTGCCACCACTAGAGGGCGCATCACTAAAAGGACAGGTGCCCCCTTCCCAAGGCCATTCTGGGGGCCCTCTCCTACCCTGAGCCCTGGGGAAGATTCTAAGCCTAGCTGGCCTGAAACCCAGGCTCGCAACCTCTCTTCCTTCACCTCAGATTCGCCTTCCTAATTCCCAGTCTCTGGACGTAAGACAAGGTTTTTGGCTGGATAATCCTTTGTTATGGGGGCTGTTCTGCATTGTAGGATGTTTAGCAACATTTCTGGTTTCTACCCACTGGATGCCTGTAACAACCCTCCCAACCCAGGTCGTGATAATCAAAAATGTCTCCAAACGTTGCCAAATGTCTCACAAAATTGACCCAGGTCGAGAGCCACTGTGCAAGACAGGTGAGCGAGCCTGCTGTGGGGACAGGAGTGGCCTGACTCAGAAGGGGGCTGCCCATGGTTACCAGTGAGGCTGAGTGTCGTGTGGAAACGTGAGAGCTAGTCAAAGATGGCGTGTGTGCTGTAAATACATTTTAAAACTGTATTTGGTCTTCTGCTTTTCTCTCCAAAGATTGCAGAGCCTCTCGGTCTTCCCCTCTGTTTATTCCACCTCCCCACTTTATTGAAACAGGAGACTGAGGCTCAGAGACCCAGGGTCTCAAGCCCCTCACCTGCAGAACCCAGTCCCCCAGCTGCGAGCACCCTGGGCCCCTCTGCTCTGCAGCGTTGGCTCGGGCACCAGGAACATCTGTGGTCCTCCACCCACTCCACCTGCCCACTAGGCCTTGCCGCCCTCCAGCTCCCCAAACCCTGGTGCCCCCCTCCCTAGAGGGAGTGGAGAAGCAGCAGGTGTTGATGCTAATCAGCGTTCACAGCCCAGAACTGCAGTCGCTCCCAGGCTCACACACTCCCCAAAATTAAACACTCATTATACAAAATTAATTGACATTAATTAGCAAAAATTAAAACTTTAAACACAGCAAGGCGCTTTGGGGGGAGGAGTGAAGCAGGCGGGCTCCACATTTGTTACCCCCACTCCCCACCCGCCCACCACCCCCAAGTCTCCCCACTTCCATCCTGGAGCAGGACTTGGAGGAGTTCGGGCGAGGTCAGCGCCCATACCCAGCCTCGGGCCCAGGCCCAGCCACGTGAGTCCCAGGTGAGAGGATCCAAAAGAGGCTCCCTATGCTAGTCACCAGCTAATGGGTGGCCCCTAAGCTCTGGCATCCAGTGCTTAACTAAGGAGCCATGACCCTCACCTCAGCCAAGGTCTCCATGATCTCAGCTGAGATGGGTAGGCATTACCAGAGGAGAAAACCCAACCATCCGAAGCAAGAATGTAGAAGGTATGCCTTTCGCTCTACCTGAACCCCGCTCCCCTCCCCTTCCTCGAACCCCCCCACCTCCGGGTATCTAAAGGACTAGGCTCTATAGCCTTTCGGCTCTGTCCCACTTTGCTATATGACCTGAGATAAGTCGCCCCCTTCCCTGAGCCTCGATTTTTCCATCCATATGATGAGGGGGTGATGCTGGGTGAGCATGGAGTTTCCTGCCTGCTCTGACACCTGCTGTCAGGGAAGCAAATCTCTGGGAACTCTATTCACTCTGAGGAGCAAGGGGCTGAATGTGGGGAGCTGGCATTTTAAGAAGATGCCCAGAAAGGCAGCCCAAGGGATTGAGTTGCTGATGGTGGAGCATCAGACACCGGGGGTGGTGCATCTTTAGGTCAAAGAGCCCCCCAAGATGGGCATCCACTTGGCTTGCCTGCGGGGCCTGCCCCCAAGAAGCGGAAAGCCTCCTTGATAACTGGTAGCTCTCTAAGCCCTGAACAGTTTTCCCTTTGTCTCTAACACTGGTTATTTTCCACCAGGTTCCCAAGGGCCCCCAATCCTTCACCAGGCTGGTAGGCAGCAGAACCACACCTTCTCCTACAGCATTTGAACACAGACTTGGCATTTATTCAGAATTTTGTTGCTTGGGCTAGGGAGGCTTGGGTGAGGGTGGAGCCCAATGGTCTTCTGCACCAGGTGGAATGCCATCCTCCCCCGTCACTCCTGCTTCCTGCCCCCTCTCTCTCTTTCTAGCCAGCGCCAATATCTGCAATGTGGTCCTGATGCGGTATGGGGAGCTGGAGGAAGGGATCGATGTCCTGGATGCTGATGGCAACCTCGTGGGCTCCTCCAAGATCGCAGCCAGACACGTGGGTTGTCTTGGGGCTCAGGGAGCTGGCGGTGGGAGCAGCAACAGGGAGGGTATTGGTTCCCCCTAAATGTTTTCATTCCTCAGGGGCTGCTGGTCACAGCACCCTGGCTTGTCCTCTTGATTGCTCCTCCTCACCTCGCCCCCACCTTCCATCTGTTTGCGCCCAGGCCTTGTGGTCTGGCCCAGCCACTCCTGTTCCCTGGACATCCCTGCTTCTCTACAACTGCCCTCTCCTCACCACTATAGAATGTCCCCATCTCGTGTCCCAGACCCTCAGGACCTGTCTTCTCCAATCTGTTAATTGACAAGGGCAGAGGAGATCCCCAGAGCTTTCTTTTTCCCTCCCCAGGATATAGGGCCCTACCCCTGGGCCTTCACATCCACTGGGGTAAGAAGAGAAAGTGTGGGAGCTGGTGCTTTGTGGTTCTGTGCTAATAGGCACTTCTGCAGGTGACACCTCACCAGGGAGTGACGATGCTGAGGTATAGGGATTTCAGGCTTACGGGAGGCCACGGTGGTGGTTAGGAATGAATATTTTGTTACAAGAAGTCCCTTTTTCATCTCTGGTTTCACCAGCCTCAACTGCTTCCAACTGGATCTTTTGAAAATCCCGTCTGGACATTTCCCTGTGCTTTCCAGCCTTCATCCTAATGACGATTAGTGGCTCGTCCTGCTCTGACTTCCAACTGCTGGGACAGGGGCGTCAGCTGTGAGGAAGCTGAGCATTCTGCTCTGCTCCAGCCATTGTCCTTCCTCAGCTCCCACGTGGGGCCTGAGCCTTACCTCTGTCAGTGAGGCCTTCTCCACAAACCTCCCACGTGCGGAGACCCCTCTCTTGTCCCAGTGCTGCCCTCCCCACTGTCTCAGGGAAAGTGGGTGCCCACTCAAGCCTCATGGGTAGCAAGGGGCTCAGGGTGCCAATGCCAACACTGTGTCCTCTGCTTCCTTCCCTGGCTCTGGGCCCTTCTTTACCATTCCTGTTTGGGAGACTGGAGGGGCCCTCTCCCAGGCCTTTCTGAGGCTGATCGTGAAGGACCCAAGTTCCTGGGAGAAATTTCCTGCCCCGAGCCTGTCACCAGAGAGGATTTGGCCTAAATTTCCTCCCTGATCCCAACCTCCTATCCAACCCTATACTCCTCCTCCCAGACTTACTGCGAGGGAAGCTGACGGTCCAAGTGGCAGGGAACCCCAAGCTCTTCTTCATCCCTGAGCGTCTGTCAGCCTTTCTCTGTCAGCCCCTTGCTCTCTGGGGGAAGACCCAGGGCCCTGGGGGCTACGAGCCATTCCTGGACCCTTCTCTGAGGGCTGGGAGCTGGTGGGGTTAAAGGAACTCCCGCAATGACCATTAGAGTGCAGAACTGCCACTGAGCTATGCCCTGACCGTGCCACCCCAGGAATCCCAAGGGAGCCCCCAGAACGAGGCCCTAGGCAAACCCCATACGGAGACTCAGTAGAAGTACCTCCCCCTCACAAAGCCAACCTCTGGTCACTAAGAAAGACTCATCCAGAGCCAAGAAACACAAGGTCTTCCAAATCTTTGTCTTTAAGGGATGTCAAAAAGGAAAAAAAAAAGTGCATTCCAGAATCTGTGCTCCCTCGGCACCAGGAGCCTCCCGTGGCTCAGGAGGCCCCAGCTGTTAGTTCTGGTCCTTCAGCACCTGCTTTGTTTTTAGAGCCTCTCAAGTCCTCCGTATGTTTCCTCCCCAGCCCCTGCACCCGCCACCCACCCAAGGCACCTCCCTGGGCACAGGCCCCTTCCTGAGGCCGCTTCTGTGTTGCCACCCCTCCCCCACACATGGCAGATGACGGGGATCTGCTCTTCAAATGTGTGTGGTGGGAAGACGGGGAGGTGGCTTTTTTCTGTTGTTTGGAATGTGAGCAATTCCATGAATTATTCCACTCAGCCAGATGTGCTTAGCAGTGATACACACACCTGAGGGCTCAGGGGTGAGATTTGCTGCTAGGCAGCTGTCCCCCAGCCCAGGATTCCCACTCACCACAGCCTCTGCTTGCCCTGCAGGCCCTGCTGGAGACGGCATTGACGCGAGTGGTCCTCCCCATGCCCATCCTGGTGCTTCCACCAATCGTCATGTCCATGCTGGAGAAGTGAGTTGGGGGCAGCCAGGACAGAGGGGCCACCGCTGGGGGGGAGGGGTAGAAGGAAGGGGACTGGCTGGCCCAGGGCAAGGGACAGAGGAGCAGCTGGCAGCTGCCCAGGCTTGTTCAGACTCTCCCAGTCAGTGCTACTGGAATCTGTGAGAACCTATGGCCTTTTACTACGTAGGACCCTGCACTAGGTGCTGGAGAGGCTGTCTCTGTCCTGAGCAGCTGGCGGTTCTGGGGTGTGTGTGTCTGTGTGCATGCGTGTGTGTCCACAAGTGTGTGTATGCATGTGTGTGCATACACGTTCTCTTAGTGCACAGGGCAAGACTGGTTGGGAAGAGAGTCTGGGGACTGTGGTAGGAAGACAAGGTTTGAGGCCAGTACCACCCCTTTCAGGCATCTCCCATGAGGCAAGTCACTGCCTCACAGAGCCTCAGTTTCTCCATTTCTAAAACACAAATAGTACCAACCTCCCTGCCTCCCTTAAAGGGATGTTCTGAAAACACATATTTGTGATGACTGTAAAGAAATAAGGGAACACAATAATAAAAACAATGATAGGGTGATTCTATTAATTAATGAGTGTGAAATTGAATCGTGAAGAGTGAAATGCTGCTCTAAGGAGAAGCTGAGCAGAGAGGGAAGGAGGGACCAGGGCTGGTCTGTGATCCTGTAGGTTTGGGCAGGCCCTGGGAATTAGGGTAAGTCTAGGAGGAAAAGAGCAAGGCAGAGTCTAGGTGGGGGGAGCAAATTGAACAAAAGACTGGAGGTGCAAACCCTTGACCCATGCAGGTAAAATTGCAGAGATAATTGTTCCCTTCCTTCTGAGAGCCCAGCCTCATGGGGTCACACCCCGAGGCAGCAAGGTTGGCTTTGAGGGCAGTGTAGAATAAGGACAGGGTGGGTGCACTTCATCTGGGGTTCTGGGGTGTGGCCTTCTCCCCAGTTTGGATACCTGTGTATTCCCACAATACGAATCGTAATAACAGGTAACATTTATTAAGCGCTTACTACACCTCGCTCCTCTCTCCGCCAGGCCTCTGCCCAAATGCCATCTCAAGGAGGCCCTCCCTGATCACCCCATCAGCACAACAGACATCATTACCCGCTCTCCCCTCGTACTGCCTTATTTTTAATCACAGCACTTATCAATATCTGAGATTATCTAGTTGTCTGTTATCTGTCTGCTGCACTAGAATGTACTCTCCATGGAGGCAAGTAAATTCCTTTTATTTACTGCTCTGCAAAGCATCTAGTATGTTTCCTGGCACATAGTAGATGCTCAGTAAGTGTTGAATGAATGAATGAATGAATGAATGAATCATCTAACCTTCACAACAGTGCAATGAGGTAAGTATGGTATCTCATTTTACAGATGAGTAAAGGAAGGCAAAGAGAGGTTTTATCATCTGCTTACAGTCATACAGTATGCAATGGCAGAGTTAGGAGTGGCCCAGGAATACAGCTCCAGAGCTGGGCTCTTCCTCCCGCACTGACTCTTTCTTTGGTCTTCAGATCATATCAAGTGATCAGCATGACTTTGGGTCCTGCCCTGTGTGGAGACTGGGGAGGAGCAGATAAGGGAGATGGGTATGACCCACATACAGGTCAGCTGCCAGTGAGACTGGGCAGCGTGTGGATGGGACCAAGGTGACCTTGAGGGGGAGAAGGCACTCTGGGCCCAGCAGCAGAGAAGCCTGGTCCAGAGAAGAGGGGCTGCAGCTGACTCTGAGAGCAAAACAGGATTTGGCAGAAGGGAGGGCTTTCTGGGCAGGGCGTGGACCTGTTGTGTGGATATCAAGGAGTCCAGCCTGACAGAAGCAAAGTGTGCTCACTGGGGCCAGCGGATAAGGAGCCCCATGTCCAGCTGAGGAGATGATCCCTTCCTCACCCTAGAAGAGGGAGAGGTATAAGAAGGGGGTACCTGAGCAGGGGCAGGCTGTGTTGAGCACTAGGATATAAGAAAATTAAATCTCATATGGAAGTGGTAAAAATAAGCAAATCCTGAGAGAACAATTGTTTTAGTGCCACTGATACTCGTATACGTAGCTGCCTCATAAACTAAGGCTGTCCCCAAATACCAGTAGCTGCAAGTACACACAAAGGCACTGGGGGACAAATGAGAAAGGTAGGGCTTCTGTATTCTAGGCTGCTGAATCCTAAGCCAGGAGTTTGCTGGTGGGAAACGTGATCTGTAATGCTTTCCCGGTTGGTGTCTGAGCTGGATTTGCAGAAAGTGGAGTGATGGTTGGTGTCCCATTGGTTTGGGGCTTAAACTCTGCTTTGAGAGGCATGTAGGTGGGGTGGGGTGGTTCTAGTTCTGAACCTTCTGTCCATGAGTCTGGCGCAGCTCAAGGTCCAAAGAAACCTTTGGCAGGTGGAAACAGGTTGGCTTTGTACTTGGTCGACCTTCCCTGAAGCCCCTTGGAGAGTCTCCAGGGAGGAGAAAGAGTCCAGTCTGAATTCCCCCAGGAATATCAAGATGAACAAGACCCAGTTTGTGCCCTCGAAGACTTACTAACTCTTACATATATTAGGGGACTGCAAGACGGCGTGGTGGGAGGGCCAGGGCAGTGTAGCAGTGCCAGTGAGACTCCTGGTAGGAAAACAAAATCTGGGTTCCTGCTCCACTACTTTCGAGCCAGGCTGGTCCAAGAGATGCCCTCAGCCTCAGTTTCCCACCTGGAGAATGACAATACTTCCCCCTTCGTCACCTCGTTTGATAGGGCTTTGCATTTTGCACCATCCAGCAGGCCTTTGACTCTTTACAAGGGCCCCACCAGGCACCCCATCGATCGCCTTTCCATGAATGGGTGAGGAGGCTGCTGAGGAGGCTGGCGGGAGAGGCAGCCCCCACACTAGAGAGCCTCAGCTGGGTGAGGGAGTCAGGACAGCCAGGGAAAAAAGACCAAAGAACACTTACAAAGCAGCCTACTTGCAAATTAATGGAGCGCAAATGAAAACTGCTCCAAGTGCTGAGGGAATGCACAGCAGTGGGGAGACAAGCTGTTGTGTGGGGGGCTGGGGCCCGGCTTGCTTCGCCTCTGGCCTCAGTTTACCCTCTCTGAGAGGAGCCCTTGGAGGTCCCCGGGTTTCCTGCTAGGATAAGGGAGGTGGGTGCCAGGCATGTTGAAGGTGTCCCTGTCTCTGGGATTGAAATGAAAAGTATCTGAAGTCAGAAGCAGAGGAGCATCTGCTCCCAGCCCAGATCATGGACCTCTGGGGGGAGGGGGGTGCACACGATCCCCCCACACACATCCTCTCACTTTGTACAGCTTCACCATCCTGAGGCGGAAGTTGGTTTTAGACCAGGGCTGGGAGGTCAGCCCCTCTCCCTTAATCTTCCCAACTCAGAGGCAGGTGCGGCAGCTTACCGCTCCACCAAGCCCTGCATCCCTGGCCCTGGATCTCCCCCCAGGCTAGGTCTCAGCCGGGCTGAGGTTCAGGCCACACCCTCCATGGTGGTTCTTAAGGCCGCTCCTGCCTCCCTGATTCCTTGGGATCCGGGTCTTTTCTTTCTCCCAGGCATTCGCACTTCTCTCCATCTGCATGTTTTAACTCCCTCAGCTGCCTTTCCAGTCCCTCCTCTTCCCCTCCCCCTGTCCTGCGGTGTTAACTCTCCCGCGGGCTCTGGGCTGCGACTTCTGAGGCTCCTCTTTGGCTGCAGTGCGGGGCCTGCCTCCTTCCTGAATCAGAAGCATAGGCCTGGGCTTCCTGGACCCCCTTCCCAGTAGGAACTTCAGCCAGCCGCCCCTGAGAGAGAAGCCAAGGTCACAGTCCCACATGGAAGTGGGTCTGTCTTGTCTAACGCCAGAGTTCCCAAGGATTGAGTTCATGGTCTGCCCCTCACCTGCCACCTTAGTTTTCCCTGTCACCTTCCTTGCCTTCGATGACCCTTGGGGCTATGCCTCCAGGGACTTCACACCCTCCTGTCCATTCCCAATGCTCTGATCCCCCTCAGGGACTGAAGTCCCAGTCAGTAACACTAGGACAGTAGGGCAGCCCTGTCTTCCATAGCCTCTTCAGAGCTGGGGCTCTAGGCTCTGTGTGCAAGTCTGGAGAGTGAATCCCCCCTCCTCATGCTGAAGAAGTGGACAGCACTGAGTTGAAAAGATCTCAGGGCCCATTTCAGCCTTACTCTCGGCTCCTCCATGACCCCCATGGCAGCTCAGGAGACCTTGGGCTGAGTTCATGAAGGGTATGAGGACTGTCTGGTGGAGAGAGAGAGGGTAGGGGTGCCTGACTGAGGCCACAGGGAAGATCAGATGGGCTGGAGCTTGATTTTAGCACCCTTGTCCTGCTGCTTTTAATGCTGTGGAAACTTCCCTCTCCAATAGTTCAATTCAGGCTTAATTCAACAGCTGGACAGATCTTGGGATATAGGCTGATGGGACGGCTGGAGGACAGCTCAGCTACCAGGATCCTCCCTCCTTCCTGAACATGACAAGGGCAATAACAACGCATAATTACTGAGCACTTACTATGCAGGGACACGCTGGGCCAGGTGTTCCCAGAAGTGCAGTCTGGGGATCATCTGTTTTAGACTCATGGAGGGTTGTTTGAAATGCAGTTTCCCAAGTGTTGTACCAACAGAATCAGAATCTCATGGGAGTAAGGGGCCCTTGGTAGTCTGCATGTTTAACCAGCTGCCTAGACATTAAGTTTGAGAACTGCTGGTCCCAATGTTGCTGTCTGCTCAAGGCCAGATGTGCCTGGGATTCTAGTCCCGGGACATGAAGGTGATGCAGGGTTTGTCTGCCAACCCTACTGAGGCCCTGCCCCCAAGAGGGCCCGCCCCTCACTGCCTGTGGCAGCCAGCCCTGCTCCCATGGAGGAGGGGCAAGAGCCCCAAGCATATCCTCATACCAGGAGCCAGTCACGGTCACGTGGAGGCTGACACAGTGACTGAGGTCAGGTTTAATGCCCATCCGTTATTCTCTGGCAAGTCATTCAGTCATCGGTCCTGCCACCACATCTCGCCCCAGGCCTCCCCACATAGAATGCCTGGTGGTCTTCACTAAGGGGCCTGCTAGATGACACAAAATGTAAAGCTCTGATGGACAACATGGTCAAGTTGTATTTGCCAGCTGATATGGCCCCCACTCTATCTGGAGAGCCCATTTTTGTCACAGAGCTGGCGGACCCAGGGTCTGGAGGGAGGTTGCCATGGGGAGTGGGTGACAGCCATTATGTACTGGTGATGAAGCTAGCAAAGAGTCCCGAAGGCAGGAGCCAGGAGCAGCACAGGGTGACAGCACTCATGGGGAGTCAGAAGTCCAGGCAGAAGCCCTACTGGCCTCCTGCAAACCTGGCCTTGATCTTGGGCAAGTCATTCCCCTTCTCTAAGTCTCGTGGATTGAACTGACAGGGTGGTCAGTGGGGTATGTTCTGTTCCACACACAGAAGAGGGTCATCCCCTCCCAATTGTTCATACGTGTTTGTGTGTAGACGTGTATAATATGCATATATGTATAGGTGTACATGTGTGTATGTGTGTGTATATGTATGCATGTAAAAGTGAATGTGTATGTCTATGTACATGTGCGTGTGCGTGTGTGTGTGTGCATGTGTGAGAGAGAGAGAGAGAGATTTGCCTCCTCTCCTGGACTTGATACCTCCTCTGGTTTGTTTGCTATTTCATTACATGCTGCCTTCAAGGGTGATCTTACTCTCCTGTGTGTCCCCCCAGGGGCAGGAGCCGACATCCTCCTCTATTATCTATCCCACATATGGCCTTCTTTGCACAAGGCTGGAGACACGGTGGAGTATGGGAGTGGCCCCCATAAGTGCTCACTTATGATTTATAGTTTAGAGTTCAACTAGCAGTGTCCTTCAGGGCAGGGCCTAGGAGAGGGGTGCCTACTGGGGAAGGCTCAAAGACAGAATTTCACCACATCTATTTCAGTACATGCTGGCACTGGCCTAGAGCATTGCTGCACTGGCTCTGGGACTCTGAGTAGGACCCGGCATAGCGGCCTGCTCACCCTGTCGCCAGGTCTCACAGGGCTGCCTCCTTCTCTTTCCCCCACAGGACGGCTCTCCTGCAGGCGCGGCCCAGGCTGCTCCTCCCCGTGCAAAGCCTCGTGTGCCTGGCAGCCTTTGGGCTGGCCCTGCCGCTAGCCATCAGCCTCTTCCCACAGATGTCAGAGGTCAGTTGGGCAGGGGCTCAAGGGCAGGACAGGGAGGGTGCAGCTTGGCCATTAATTAACAAATAGTTTTTCAGTGTTAACTCCTTAGTACTGGGCTAGGCACTGGGGTTAGAACCGTGAATGAGACTGACTTCTCAGAGCTTAGGGTCAAGCAGTGAACACGACAATGAAACAGGAAATAGAAAATGAAGGGTGAGGAGTATTAGGGTGGGACCAATTCAGCTGGATGTGGGGCCCAAGGCGAGCCTAGAGGGAAGTGGCATTTCCTGGGGCCTGGAGGATGGGCTAGAGTTGGCCAGGTGTGCAGTGGGGTGAGAGGATACATAGGCTGGAGTCACCTGGGATGAAGTTTCGAGGTGAGGCAGTACACAGCATGTTCCAAGAGCTGAAGAAAGTCTACATCTCAAGTGAGAGTGGAGCAAGATGAGATGGGCCAGGTAAGGGGGCCTGAGCCCGGCTGGTGCTGGAAGCTTGGAAGCCAGAGCAGAGAGGGTCAGTGTCATCAGAAGGGCTGTGCAAAGCAGGACCACAGATTCCTGATTTTGAACAGTCCCCATGGCTGTACTGTGAGGCTGGGTCGGAGCCCCGGAGGAGAAGGAAGCATCGGGAGGCTGCGGCGGGCATCCAGCGAGAGATGATAGGCGGCTTGGACCAGCCTGTTGTCCTTGGACATCGAGAGAAGCGGGTCCTTTCAGAGAGAGATGAGGCAGCTTCATCAAAA